CTTCTATAGAAATGATAGTAAATGTAAAATCAAGAGAACAAGATCTATAGTAATCTTTTTTAAATGCCCGAAAACTATATTAAATATGGAGTTCAAGAGCGTACTCCACATGATTCATAAATGCAATTAGTTGTATCTGCATAAATGCAGTTACTGTAATCTTGTAATACAGTGTGAAAGGGATTTTTTTATCCGGTCTTTGCACCAGAATTCCTAAATCTGATTCCTCTACTCGGTGCTTCACCTCTTCTGCGAACTGTGATAGTTTTTCATCTTCCGTCGACATATCTCTCCACCGACTGTAAGTTCACGCCTTTTCTTTTTAAAATTTACAGCTTAGCTTTGTATAATGCTCTATTTTGCTTTCTTTGTTGATATATCTGCAAAATTTGATAAAGATTTTGATGTCAAGTTAATTTTTTCTCTGCGATGAATTTTTTAGATTCATGTGTGAAAATTTCAATTATGTTTCTCCGAGAAATATACCAAATTGTCCTTGTGAACAATTGGCTGGAGGAAGAAAGTTTTTAGAATCAGTTGCATGGTTTATTTTTTTATTTTATTTTTTCCCTCCCTGTTTGTGTTGTGAGTTATAATTTGAGAACTTTTTTAGTAGATTTTGAATTTTTTCTGATTGATACATGAATTCATTTTGTCTTCTGTCCCCTTTTGAAGGTTTTCAGTGGGCTCATCACATAACATGCTCTTGTGAAAAAATGGAATGCAAAAAAACTACAATGGAAAACAGATCCGATTTACTAGCAAGATTCTTCAAGCCTATTTTGCCTTCAACCAGTTTCCTCCGCAAATTGGTAACTTGCTTTTTTGCTTTGTATTTCTGTAGAGTGCGTCTTATGTGACCAAGTAAAGAAATAAATCTCTGCAAATATATATGTTTTTCCCTTTAATTGAGTTCAGACTCATATCTTGAAGTTAATATTGTTTAACAAGAATTGAGTATTGCATCTTGATATGCTTGGTGTGTTATGTAGATGTCCTTTTTTTTTTATAATTATCAAAATATGCTGAGATTGAGATTCTTGTATTGATTGATAGCCCAAATTCACTTTCTTTTAGCATGAATTCGTTGAGGTACTTGAAGGAAAATTCGGCTTTTTTCTTGCGTAAGTTGAGCAATGTTCTTGAATTCTGTTGGGGAAGGAAAAACATTGGAACGGGCATAAATGTGCATGATTTAAGAAGCTAGGTGATACAACGAGAAAGAACAAAGAACACGAGATCAACAATCTCAATATTCTTCAATTCCTAAGAATAACGAGAAGGGATCTACAGACTACAAATTTCAAAGAAAAACCAATATTTTTATAAATTCAATTCAATTCAAAACAAAACAAAACAAAAACCAAGAGTGTTGCAGTTGTGCCTTTAAAACCTAATACCAACTCTTAGTCCCAACTCTTCTAACAAATTATAAATTTGATCATAATTAATTAAAACGACACAATTAAAGAAATATGAAGTAATAAAGTCATCCCCAACCCCTATAATTTTTGAATCTCAGACTCCACACAAGGTCTTTTTAGTTTCTGTTCTTTTTGTACAGTTCATATCATGCCAAGCGAAAATATAGTATCTTCGACTAAGAACATCAGAGTTTCTAATCACGTGAAGTGTGGAATTTGATGATCATTGAGGTTAATGAAGGAGACTGTTTTCTTAGTTCACTGACAAATAAATCAAAATTTCAGTCTTTCAATTTTACAGAACTGCACCCTCAAATTATACCCTAGGATTGGTGGCGGGAGATTCTTCAAATTTGAAAGTAACTCTTCACAGGCATGAAACAGTGAGGAAATACTCACTTTGTTTGCAAGGTTTCACAATGTCAAAACTTCAATGTTATTTGATCAAATCGAGAATTCAGCTTTCTTTCTGTGAACAATTTTATTTTCCCACTCTCTTTTTTGTTTTTTGTGGAAGTCAATCTTATAAAAGGTTATAAAACGAGCTTATATCTGCTTCTTGTTAGGTACTGGTACCTGATTTAATTTTTCAATTGTGTTGTTGGCTTATTGCTGATGAACATATAATTTTCTGTCTTGACAAAAAGTACCATACTGCACCTTTTTTCTTGACTTCACTTGTAACTGAAATAGAGTTTTTAAATATACAATGTATTTGTACTGAGGCTCCCCGACAAATTTTCTGGAAAATATGGGCATGGACTCTCTGATGTTCTTAAGCTTACCAATTCTACTGCTTGTGTTTGGTCTGTCAGATTGGAAAAGGCAGAAAACACTCTTTGGCTTCATGATGGATGGGAAAAGTTTGTCAAGGACCACTCCATCACATACGAGTACTTTTTACTCTTCAAATACAAAGGAAATTCAAACTTCATTGTATGTGTATTTGACTTGACCACCACCGAGGTTGACTATCACAATAGTAGCTGTAAGTTTGAAGGAACCAACCACAGGACTTCCGAAATGGAAGAAGATAGTGATGAAGACTCTATCACACTTCTAGCTTCCTTCCCCAGTAAACCATTGATGTGCTCTTCGAGAATTGGTACTCCAAATGAATGTGGATTTCAGGCAAAACATGGTAGAAAACATGATCAACGAATCATTCATGATTTCTCTTATTCTTCCACTGAATCTTCACAGAGTTAAAAGAGGTATGAGTGATGGAGCTGAGAGCTCAAAATCCTAGCAATGCTATCCAACACCAAGAAAATGTAATATAGAAGATCGGGGACGAGGAAATAAAACGAAGAATTTGAACATGGCATGTCAAAAAGACTTCAGATTAATGAGAGCAAACCTAAGAATTTCATTACCAAGAATGTTCAAGAGGTGATTCCATGTATTACAGGCAATCAGACACCTAGTTCAAGTTCTTTACAGTAAATTTTGTTTAATATCTGTTTGGATCAGTAAGATTGCTTTCGGAAATTATTTCCTTGTATGTGAATTGGTGAGGTATAGATGAAAAAGGATCACCCTTGGTGATCGAAAGTTGTTTGAGAAAGAAGGTCGTACCCACTGCAGGAAAACTGTTGCCCAAGAATCCTTCTTTTACAGTCATACTGAAACTATACAGTCTGACCCCAAATTTTTTTCTGGTAAGCTCTTTCGTTTTATGTTAGTGGGTGATTCATTGTAGCCAATTATATTGCTCTCTAGGGTTTCTCGAAATGATGTTTACTATGTTCTGTGTATAGTCTTTGTTTTACTCTGACATGGTGCAATTTTTACTTGTTTCTGAAGAACGTACTAGCTGCATTTGCTAGGGAGAATCTGTCAAGTGGTCCAGGGCCTATTGAACTTCATGATTGTGATGTAAAAAGTGGCTGTTCCATGCCAGTGCAAGAGGTGGTCTGGTGCACGTTATAGCCAGAGGATGGCAGGCATTTGTAACGGAAAAAAAAAAAAAAAAAACTCAAGGTTGGAGATACATGTGTCTTTGAGCTGATACACATCAATCAGCGTATTCTAAAGGTTTCCTCATTTCGCAACACTGGCAGGGTTCCTAAGTGACATCAACTCATTTGATCAAGCAGTAGAGAATTTAGAGAAATTTGCCACTACCCTTGTTGTGTTATTGAGAGAAATAAATAAATTTGATTAAGCAAACATTCTTTAGAATAGCATTGAATTTCAATTCAGTTGCAGGAGTTTGATATAATCTTCCTCGTGCTTCACTGGTTTGGTGATCTTACAGTATTAATTATGTTTTGGTTTAAGCTCCAAAGACTAGTTTTATCAATCTATGTGTTTTTCTTGGAGAAAATTATATCTTCTTTGAATTAAAAAGGCAAGAAAACCATCTCTTATTCGTTTGTAAGTATCTTTTGTGCAGGAAAGAGCTGTGATTGAATGAGCAGTGTAAAACGGCTATATAAGTAATTTTTTTGTCCATCTTCGCTAGTGATGGGCATGATTCGGTTTGATTAGGTTTCTAAGAGAATTCGACAGCAAAATGGAAATTCTATCCGCGGAACTGAATGGTTCTAGCTTTTGTGGAAGTGGTGGTACACAGTTGGACAAGAACTGATCAATTCTAGTTCAATTTGATACAGTTAAATCTTTTTTTTTCTTAATTAGAATAGAAATTTATGTTTCTGTTTTACTTTCAGCACTGTCAATAACTACCAGAATTTCTCGTGCTTTGGTTAATTATCTCAAGGATGTGAACTAAAGCTACATAAGACAAACTGCATGTTTAGCTACCTTTTAATAAGTAAATAAGTGAACACTAAAATAAATATTTAGTATTAGTCAAAAGTTAGAGATCATCAAGTTGTTCATAAAAGAGAGAGAGAGAGAGAGAGAGAGATTAGTAATAGGCATAATCGGACCAGCAAAGCCTTAGCCGATGGAAACTAGGTGCTGTGCGTATTTATTTATTTGAGTTGGATCTTCGCATGCCATCTCATTTGCTGGCTTGACCAGTTGATGGCAAAACTTGAACAAGAAAAGGGATGTTTTCGTGCTCACTGCTCAGTTAACCACCTAGTCTAAACGAGAGGACACTGTGAAAGGTTAACCACCATACTCTTGCACACAGAAAAGGAGATTGAATGCTAAACAAATTTCTTCATTAATGACTGGACAGTACAGAACAGAAGCGGAAGGTGACGCCTTACTAAAAATGTAATAATATTGACAGTGACTGAGTGGTCCATGAATGCAATTATGAAGAGAGAAGGTGAATTTTACTTGTTTTTGTATGTTGTCTACGTCTAAGTTTGCTATGGAATTGTATTCTCCTACGTTAAAATTTGGAAAGATTGCACTGTAAAGCACGTTATAAAGAGGAGAAGAAAAAATATATATTTTTCTTTTCAAAAGCTCAAGTATTAAGAGCCAATCGCTTTCTCAAAAAGAATAAATGAAGAATCATAGTACAATGAACTGATATCCAAAACAGGTATTCTTCTTCTTAAAAACTTGCATATTGGAATTGAAATATCAGATAAAGAGAGTTTTAATAACATACATAATCTTGTTGAAAGCGAAAACGTCAAAAAAACAACAATGGCTGGAAGACCAGATTTGCCAACAAGATTTTTCAAAGTCATTTTGCCCTCAACCACTATCCAACACAAACTGGTAAGTTTTGCCTTTCTTTTCTGTGTTGCTGTGTGATATGGCTTATGATTTTTCAAGATTAGCTCTAATGTGAAATGGAAAGATAGTTATGATTCAGGTGCTCTGATAAGTTTGTGATTGAGTTTAATCTTGGGGATGGACTGTGCAGAGAAAGGTAGTCGTCCCAAACAAGCCCGTCCTAGTTTCCTCCCTAACATGTAAAGAATCTGTAGGGTTGAGGTTGTATAGGGGAGGATTCATGTGGGCTTTTGTGGATGCTGCCCCCATTAAAGTTTGTTTCTTGATCTCTGCTGTGGGCTTTTGGGGCAGTGATGTCTCGTTTTGATTGATGCTATTGTTGTTTTCATTAGATGGTAGAGCTGATGAAGACGTGATTGTACGTTTATTGGTTTCTTGCTATGAATCTTGAATTTGGCGTTGGACAAGAATAGAGGTGGACGAGTAAAAAAGATCAAGACTCGAATTTTATTGTATTTTGATCATTCTCATGTGGCCTTTCATAATATCTACTTGACCTCATGGGACATTTCATTTATATATATGATAAATGTCAAATTATTTCTTTGGTAAGAGATGGGGACATTGGATATATATGCTTTTTGAAGCAGCAGCGCAAGGAAATGTGAATACTTCGAAGAAGCTGCTTCAGGAAGATCCAATAATTTTTGATAGATATAGTTAATAGTTTCACCGAAACTCCTTCGCAATTAGCAGCAGGAAGATCCATTATAAATCTCACTTACTATATTTATTTGATAGCTTTGCCTTTTTAGAGTGTTTAGGTTGCTTATATAGGTTCCATCACAATGCTCCTAGATTTCACTTGATTATTATTCCCCTTGTTCTTTTATAGCCCAACCATTGAGAAGTAAAGAGAGTTCTGGTAGGACTCACGATGAGAATACTCGAGGAGTATACAAATGGATAAGAGGCTGGACAGGGGAAAATGGGGGAAGGGGTTGGGGAGGAAGAGACTATTTTTTTTTTCCTTTTTGTTTTGAATTTATCAAAGAAAGGAAAACCAAGACACTATTTTTTGGCACCGGACTCTTTTAGTCTCCTTGGCACAGCGGATGACCGCTTGCACGTGATCCTAACCCTCTATATTCCTTATATCCAGAAATCTTTTTTTTTGCCTCTCTTTTTATAACGAGTTCAGTCAACATTCTTTGACTAATTTGTTCTCTCGCTCAAGGCTCTATTAGAATCTAGCATACTCTTTTTTATATTTTATATGTGTAAGATTTGCTAGTTTTCTAATTACACTTTTTAAGCATAGACAAACAAGCTCATAGTTTTGTATAGGGAAAAAAAAAAACTTCTAATTGATTACAATTAGAAATAAGGGTCTGTTTGATTCGTGTAGTTTTTGACTGTTTGATATGCGAAATTTTCCACGGAAAATGTTTTCCTCTCTTTTTCTAGGTACAACCCATTGATGCGCAAATGGTGGAAAATGTTTTTTCACCTAATAGGTGGGAAAATATTTTCCACATTTAGTAGAAAAAATTATCATTTTAATGGACAAATTCCATAAAAAACGAAGTCAAATGGACACCAAATTTTCAACATTTTCCATGGAAAATTATACAAATCAAACACAATTAATTACAATTCCCAGTAAAACATTTTCTAAGAAAATCAATTCCCTGTAAAACATTTTCTTTGCACCCATTTTCCATCATTGCAATCAAACGGACCCTAAATTTTGTACTTGCAAGCCATACGATATTAGCTTAGTACTTCAACTAGTACGCACTGCAACAGGCCCTTTGTTTTCATCCACTGTCTCTACACCAACTTGTGTTGATTCTTGGCTTTAATTCTTGTGAAATCATGGACAAATGATCTTCTTCTTGTTGTTTGTCCATAAAATGGGATGTTTGAATTAGATGATTGCCTTGGCCTCGTAGATTTCCTCAGATTTTGTTCGATTTTGAGAGCCATCGAATGTACCCAATTTTTTTTACAAAACCTGCAATGATATTATGATTTTGTGCCAACAGTCCTCCATCTGATTTGTTCTGTTACAAACACTACAAGGTCGAACTTTTCCCTCCTCTTTGGTGAACTCTGTTTTTTCCTGTTTGATTCTCTGCCCAAGTTGAAGGTTCATAACCCTTATTTTTACTGCTTCCTGTGGATCATACTCCATCAAGACAGCTTTCGTTTTTACTGCCTGGAAATCATAACTTTCCCCTGTAAAAAAAGGAGGTACGGGTAAAGAAAAAGGGGGTTGTTGCCATATTCTATGTTCAAAGCATCTCTAACAAAACTGTGAGTTTTGAAAATACAAGATTTACTGCATTCCATTTTTTTATTTGGCAAAAACATTTGATACATAACAGATAAACTTGCGTGTTTTACTACTACTAACGCAGAAACCTTTCATTGTTTGGACTAAAACGTATTATGTATTTGTGCAGAGGCTCCCGAATACTTTTGTGGAAGCATACAAACACGAACTCTCCAATGTTGTCAAACTCACTGATCATGTTGGTGGTTTTTGGCATGTGAGATTGGTAGAGGAGGAAGAGATACTTTGGCTTGATCGTGGCTGGGATAAGTTTTTTCAGGACCACTCCATTGAACATGGATATTTTATACTCTTTAAATACAAAGGGAACTCAAGCTTCAAAGTTCATATATTTGATATGACAGCCACAGAGCTTCACTATCCATTTTATAACAGTCGTAATTTTAAAGAAACCAATTCTCATCCGAGGAATTCTATCCCTCAAAGAGAAGAGCAAAGTGATGACGACTCTGTTGCAATTCTAGATTCCCTCCCTACAGAACTAGTGGCCTCCCCTTTGAGAAGTGTTGCTCCAAATGGACGTGTGGTTCAGTCAAGACGTGGTAAAGGACACAATCATGAAAATATGCACTCTCTTTTTTCAACTGGAATTGCCAAAATTCCAGCAAGTTTTGTTTATTTTCGTATGTTTCTCGAAATGATTTCCTTGTATGTGAATTGCTAATTTTAGATGAAAAGCGATCACATCGTGGTAGAAAAAGGGATTTGGGAAAGAAGGCCGTACACAATGCAGGAACAATTCTGCTTACATATCCTTCTTTCACAGTCAAGATGAAATCTAACCTGACTCCACAATGGATATTGGTATGCTCTTGATCTTTACATTACTTGTTTTTATTAATTGTAATACTAAATTTTTGTTGTTTTCTTGACTTCGTGATTTAGCTATAACTTCGTTAGACCCCTAACATGGTGCAACTTTTTTTTGTTTCTGAAGTACGTGCCAGCTCAATTTGCGAAGGAAAATCTGCCAAATTTTTCGGGTAATATTGAACTTCACGATTCTGATGGTAAGAAGTGGCCGGTTAATGTCAGTATAAGACTTGGTTTGGTGCGTTACTTATCTTGGGCGGCATTTGCAAAAGCTAAAAAAATCAAGGTTGGAGACGTGTGTGTTTTTGAACTAATTCACAGCAATGAACCTGCTGTGCTGAAGGTCTCAAAACTTTGCAAGACAAGCGGAGTGCTGAAACAAATATGAATCATCAGCTTGGGAATGATTTTCAACTAGGAACAAATTAGTTTTACTTTGATTAATCCCCCATCCTCTTCCCTTTTTGTGTTTTGAGAGAAGCTAACTTTGAATTGAAGACAATTATAATTTGCTTGAAGTAATGTTTGTTATGGCTCTACTCTTCTACATGCTTTTTTAAATTAACCTTCAAAAAATGGCAGTAGTATAGTTTGAATCTCAATGTCTTAGATGATTCATATTTAATATTGGACCTCGTGTCCGGACTCCAAAAGAAAATTCGAAGAATTAAAATGAGTATTTGAGTTGACTGACTCAATAAACCTATGCTAAAGATTTCTATATTTTGGAATTCGAGCACAGGCCCGAAGTTCTAGGTTGAGATTGTATAATCAAAAAGTGGTAGAAAACTGTTGGTGCAGAACTAAGAAACAGCCAGTTTGGAGCTTTGATTCGGCTACCCTTTGATCATAGGTGGTACAGATCATATTCTGCATTTGCTGAATGTCAATGGCATAGGTCTTACATATTTTTTTTTTCATATAGAGTTTCTATGTATTGTATCACATTTTCAGTTTCTGTTTCCGTGCAACGTAAATCGCTTTAGCAGCCGCCCCCTACAGTAAAGACGGAAGATGGAGGAGGGGACACAAATCTTTACACTGGACATGGGATTAAATGCTACATGGATGGGCATGGCCTTGGAATTATTAATCCCTTTCTTGACTGTACAGAATTGGACTGGTTGTAAAGAATAGAATATGTTTTTGTCTTCAAAAGCATAAGGTCTTAAATGAGTTTCTGAATGTAGTTAAAAGCAAGAACCTTGCTTGAAAAACTAACCTTGCCTTCAAAAACATTTAATTCCTTTTTGCTTTAATATGTCAATATCAGCAGTACCATAATCAATACACTATTTATTCTTATATATACAGAAACCTCACCAACACCAAGAGCCATAGAGAGAGTTCTTATTTCATTGCTTTTGCGGGCTTTGAAAGGAGAAAATTCTACTTTTAACAGGTCTATGACCTTATTAATGTATCTTTTTCTTAAAAGTTCAGAAATATGCTTAGATGCTCCGGTTTTGTATTGGGTGGTAACCTTGAAAAGGCCTAGATACCACAATATTAAAAACAAGATTCCACAAAACACAAACGATCAGAAAGTAAACTTGCAAAAAATAAAGATTAAATACAAGAGATTTATTTCGGCATAAACCCCGAAGGTTCAGTGATCACTTCTAACGCCTACATCCCCCGTTGAGCATCCAAAAATTGGATATTCGCTCGGTTGTGCTATATAACCCAAAAAATGACAACAAAAGTTACATATCGTTTCTTTCAACACAAAAAAGAAGTACAAGATACTTATATCTTCAACAATAATTGCAAATCTACAAAGAATCACTCAAAAAACTTCAACTCGCCTATTGAAAATCACAACTATAAGAAACCCCTTATTCTTACAATAATCGTTAAGAAAATACACAGATTTCAGAGGCTAAAGTGTAATAGTCTCAATTTTACAAGTTCATCAAGAGAGATGAAAACCCATAGATCAAACCTAATAGTAAGAAGAAGAAAGGGAAAAAAAACACTCTCTCAGAAGAACTCAGAAGTCAGAAAAAGAAAAACAACTGCTCGTAAATGGTACTGTACATGTATATGTATCTCTCATCAATAATGTCAAAATCAAGGGCCAGGATTAGGACACATGTCGCCATCTCATAAAAACGTTACGACTTATAAAAGTGAGTTCAGCAAAATACAACTTTGGCCAAATTTTGGGAGCACATCACAGATCACAAGTTCAAGCCTCAACAATCTCCACCTTACTACCAGAAATTTGGGACAAAAAGTGTAGCCAGAAGCAAATATCAACAATTTGATCTTCATTTGCTCCAAATACCTGTTTATGCATCACAAAGTATCAATAGATAATAACTTCAAACAATTATGAAATTTGTTTAAAAGTATTATTTTAGTTCCCATGTCTGAAGGATTACTTACCAATTTTCAAAATTCCTTTCGATATAATATCTCTAATAAAATGATATTTAATGCCTATGTGTTTAGTCATATCATGAAATGAGATTTTTACTCAAATGTATAACACTTTGGTTATCTGAGTACAAAGTTGCATTTTCATCAACAAAACCAAGTTCAATCATCAATCTACTTAACTAAATTCCCTTTTTAATAGCATCAGAAGCAGCAATGTATTCTGCTTTAGTTGAAGACAAAGCGACAACCTTTTGCAATTGAGATTTCCAACTTATTGCAGTATCACAAAGAGTAAAGAAATAAGTTGAGGTAGACTTCATATTATTCATTTTAAATGCAAGACCTACATTTAAGGTTCCTTTCAAGTATTTTAATAGCCATTTTAAAGCATTCCAATATTCTTTAGCAATGTTACTTATGAATCTACTAAATATGCTAATAGTATGAGCAAGATCAGGTATTGTGCATACCATTAGATACATAACATATCCAATCAAATTTGCATATGAAATTTTAGACATTCTAGTAAATTCTTCATCAGTTGTAGGATAGAACTGAGATGAAAATTTAAAATGGTTTGAAAGAGGTAATGTGATAGGTTTACAGTCAAACATATTGAACTTTCAAAATTTTAACCATACAATCATGTTGATGCAAGAATAACTGATCCTTTTCTTTATTTCTCAGAATCTGCATGCCAATGATCCTTTTAGCTGAACCAAGATTCTTCATGTCAAATTCGGATTTTAATTTCTGTTTAATATCATCAATTTCAGACTTATTATCACTAGCAAGTATCATTTCATCAACATAAAGCACCAAATACAAAGAATTTTTACCTCCTTTACCTTTATAGTTGAGGCAAACATCATAGTTGCTTCTTTGAAAACCATGTTTCAATACAAATGTATCAAACCTTTTATAACATTGCTTTAGGGCTTGTTTTAACTCATATAATGATTTCTTTAATAAACAAACTACATTTTCAGAATCTCCTTCAATAAAACCAACGACTGCTTCATATAAATTTTTCCATCTAAATCACCATAGAAAAAAGTAGTTTTTACATCTAATAAATTGAACAAAAAATGCAAGAATGCATCTAATAGTGGTATATTTAACAACATGGGAAAATTTTCAATATAATCAATACCTTCCTTTTGTGTGAAACATTTAGCTACAAGTCTAGCTTCATACCTAATGCTATTATTCCCCTCTTCACCTTATTTTATCTTATAGATTCACTTACAATCAATTAGCTTATAGCCTTTAGGTATCTGAACCAATTCTCAGGTTTTATTTTTAAGAAGTGAAAGCATTTCATCTTTCATGGTGGCTTTCCAGTTTTTAGCATCTTTGAAATTAATAACATCATCGTAGGAGTTAGGCTCATTTTCAAATTGATAAGTAAACAATGAAACAAAATCATCACACGCAAACCTAGATCGAGGTCTGATCTGCATTCTCTCTCTATCTCTTGTGAGTTGTTGATATTCATAAAGAGGGAGAGTTGTAGGATCCAATTGATTTTCAACATCAATTTCTTGATTGTTTCCATTTTCAGTTGAAACATTATTCTCATCAAGATCAGATTCATCAACATCAAATATAGGAGTTTCTCTTTCATTTAGAAGAGACTCCACCTCAATTTGAACATTTTTTCCAGTCAAGTTATTTTCTTTTCCTTCAAAACATGGCATAATAGATTCATTAAAAATGACATCTCTTTTAACAATCACCCTACAACATTTTTCACTTTTAACCTATAGTCTATACCCTTTAATATTTTCACCATAACCTAAGAAAACACATTTAAGTGATCTGGGTTCCAATTTACTAATATTTTGATGCGCATATGCAGTACAACCAAACACTTTCAGGTGGAAATAGTTAACAGGACTTTTAGACCATATAAATTCAAGAACTTCAAAATTCAAAGCAATAGTAGGGGAACTATTTACAAGATAAACAGCAGGTTTTACAGCTTCACCCTAAGACAATATAGGTAAACCAGAACTTATAAGCATGCATTACCTTGTTTAATAAATTCTATTAATTCTTTCTAATATGCCTTTTTGTTGAGCTGTATATGCAACCATTCTATGTCTTAATATGCCATACTTTTTACAGAAATCATTGAATTCATAATTGCAAAATTCCAAACTATTGTCAGTTCTCAGAATTTTATCTTATAATCAGTTTGGTTTTCAAATTGTGTTTTCCAATCTTTAAAAATAGTAAAGGTTTTATCTTTTGATTTTAATGAGAATGCCCAAATTTTTTTTTTTTTTAGAAAAATGATCAATGATCAAAAAATATTATCTAAACCCAGTCAAAGTAGACACACAAGCAGGACATATTCAAGTATTTTTTTGGATTTATGAATTCCAAGTAAAAAAGGTAACTTGACTTGCTTGCCATCACACATTGTTCACAAAAACCAATATCACCAAGATTTTGTTTTCTAAAAACTCCTTTATTTTGTAAAGACTTTAAATTTTTCTTGCCAATGTGACCAAGTCTTTCATGCCATAATTTTGCCAAAGTAAACTTTTCAATTAAAGCAGCTGCATTCAAACCAAGTAAAGGTTTAGCTTTCAAAAAATAGAAACCACGTCTCTTAGGGGTACTATTAATCAAATCAGTGCCCCTAAGAATTTTAATATGTTTTTGACCCAGTTTTATGTCAAACTTCATTTCATCCAACATGCCTAGAGATACAAGATTCCTATCTAACTCAGGAACATATCTAGTTCCTTTTAGAAATAAAACATTGCCATTTTTAAGCAATAGTTTAATAGTTCCTAAGCCATTTACTTTACGGGTCATGTTATTTCTCATTATTACTTGCCTCCCTAATTTTTTTCAAATTCAAGAAAATATTTTTTGTTTGGGCACATGTGAAAAGAACAACTCGAATCAAGTATCCATTTATCACTTAACTTCTTTTCAATATTAGCAAGGACTAACCCATTTCAATGTATTTCATTATTACAGACTAAG